ACCCACCCCCCCAAAAAAAAAAAACCAAAACCCCCAACCCCACAGAAAACAAGAACACCTTTCCCTTTTCCAGGAATTAGAGGTGGGGAGTGAGTCTCATCCCAATTGATGCAGTTTTGTCTGTCCTTTCTCCTAAATGTCAGTATGTTATTAAAGAGCTACTCATTCATGATCCTAGCAGTCATGAATTCCAGACACAATGCCACTCACTATTGAACCAACTCCCTTATAGCTTTCAGTAGTGTTATCCCCGAGATGTCTTGAGATGTGCAAAGCTTATGTATACCAATATCTACCTAAACAGTCTTTTTTTCTACAAAAGAACAAAACCAGCACTTCTACCTACCAAGGTATATCTTTGTTTGTAGCATATGGATTTTCCTCTGCAGTTAAACATTCAGAAAATAATTGTAGTCTGGATATACTGGCTGTTTAATCTTAGTGTTGATGGCCAACCACAGTAGATCTTGGAAGTTTGGATGTAAAGAAGGAATGGCTGCTCTGATAGTTACAAAGAAGAAATGTCATTATCATATTTAATAAGTTGAAAACCCAGAAGCTTGGGAGGTGAACAGGTTGAAATAATCTCTGTGTCAACACAGTCACACTCTACAGATGTCTTGGAAAGGATCTTTACGTTCATGTATGACATTAAACAGCAATTGCTAGACTTTAATGTAAAAAGGAGAGTGCTCTTGAGAGATGAGGCCTCTGAGATAAGAAAGTGAAAATCCTCTCAAATACATTGTTAAGCAGCTGGTGCTGAGTAAGCCTATGTGGGAGCTTGTTGACAACTTATTCTTTATTCTAAACAAAATTCCTTTGCAGTCGTCTTCAGTTTGCATGTGATGTTATAAATTACTTCATGGCTTCATCTGATAAGCATGATGTTCTTTTATAACTGCAAAATATGCTTTAAAAAAAAAATTGTATGTATGTTAGTCACCTTAAAGATGCCAGACTTGCCTGGCAAATACCAAGAGTTGTTTGGCTCAATTGCTGTGATGTTGTGCTTGAGAAGAACTGCAGATCTTCATTTGTTGTTGTTATACCCTTTGTGTGCTGCTGTTTAGGGTGCATGTGCAAAGTAATTTGCTAAAGATGTTGGAGTTAAGGTTCATATTTTATCTGTGTTTCAAAGCTAGTATTGTAAAGTCTGCGCTTATTCTGGTGGCTAAATTCAAATATTTGCTAATATGTATGGATAGTTTCCACTTTTTTTGTGTAGGTAATACGTAGTATGTTGTTACAGTTTATTCATGACAACTGTCACTTGAAATGGAAAACACTTGCTTGTAGCTCTCACTTGAAGGGCTCTAAGGTGCGAAGTAGATAAGTGACATGTACAGTTGTGAGTCTATAAATAGTATTAGTTATTGCTTCATTAATTACATACAGTATTGAAAAATGCAAGGTAACTCTTAAGGAAATAAATTGTTCAATCCGTACCTTGCTTGTTCCTGTAATTTGCTTTGCGATGTTGAGACAGAGTCCTTAATCTGCTTCTATCTGGGCTGTGTGAATACTTTTTTTTTTTTCCCCGATTTTGTGATTTGCGTTTAAATATTTTATGGTAATCTTTCTCCGTTCTGCTTTTGAGAATAAGCTTTGATGAATTTTGTTTTGCCCTTGGCTTTGCTGGTGCTCATAATGGCATTTCCCAACTGGCAGCTCGTAGGACAAAAGCAGGCTTGGCGGCAGCAGCTGTGAAGACAGGGCACATTGGCTCAGTTATGAAACCCAAAGTACAGGGAGAACTAACAGAAACCCATGAATTAGTAGAAAGAAACGTAAACAGTAGGGCAGCAGATCATAGCTAGCAATTATAATATCAGTTCATTCTTCCACTCCTTTACAGTTTCAAAGCTTATGGAAACATCTTTTGAAGTCATTGCTGCTACTGAAGGTGCCTTCTGTACACGACTGTCGTGGCACAGTATATCAAGTGGCTTAATTTCTGTCATGCTGTCAGCTGAGTGCACAAATGAGTGTGGGAAGAGGGACTGGGGTCATTTGCTATTTTATGAATTGCTGGTGATGGAGAGTAGAGAACTGATGGGTTAAAACTGAGTTTAGTCATGTCAGTGTGTTGCACAACAGCTCAAGACAAACATGTTTTGTGCTCTGGCATTTCAGCACTGTCTGCTGAGAATACAATTGTGTAGTAGTTTACAAGAGACTTGAGCTGTCCCCAGTGATTCTCTGTGACTTCTAAAACAAAAGAATTGGTTAGAAAATGGGTTTGGGGAATGTTTCTTTCTCATATCTACTATGGACATTGACCTATATGCACACTTCTAAAATAAAAGATGAAACAGTAAAAATAAAAAATATGAGATGACAAAAGCTAGACAAATTCTGATACACTTTTTCCTTTTTCTGTTATAGAAATACATTAACTTTGAAGTGGAATTAAACAATGGAACCAGATATTATTCGAATGTACTCCTCATCCCCTCCACCGCTAGACAATGGAGCTGATGATGATGATGAAGATGAGTTTGGAGAATTTGGAGGATTTTCTGGTGTTACCACTGCTGGTGTAGCTTTTGCTGATTTTGATACACAGGACTACAGTCATCCAAAGGAAGAGTTTATACCCACAAATCATTTCATCCCACTTCATGATTATTCTGACAATGTAGCTAGCATTGCAACTTTCACATCTGTTAAAAATGTTAAAGATAAAGACTGCATTGCAGAGCTTCCTACTCTTACTAAGGAACTTTCTGATATGTCAGCTACTAGTACCAGCAAAGAAAAATCTAAGTTTAGAACTTCAGGTACTGCTTTAGAAGATGTAAACAAAAGAGGGGAACAGAGAGACAGCACTGGGAAATCAGAAGGGTTTTCTTTTCATGTCATTAGAACTGGTATAGCAGTTGAGAGCCAGGATGAGCAAATAGATGCTTGTAATGGTGAGAAACCTACATGTCTAGAGATTCTAACAAATGGATTTGCAGCAACGGACCCTGTAAATCCTCAGGGAACAGAAGATCTGGACGGTATTGGTGACTCCAAGGGACTGAAAACTGTTAGCGACCATAGTACTGAGCAAAGTTTGAACTCAATGCCTAGCTCAGGTGAAGACTTTGCAGATTTTGCTACATTCTCAAGCAAAAAAACAATCTGTTTAGAGGGAACAGGACCTACAATATGCAGTGTTCTTAATGAAAGACACTCTCTGAGCATTCAGGAGAACAACAGAATAAACAGAGTAACTTGTATTGAAGAAGAGATTTGCATTTCAGAAATTAGCTGTGAACAGGGTCCCTTAGCACTGGAAGATAATGAATTTTCAATTTCTAGTAAGTCTCAAACAACTGGAAGTTCAATATGCACTACTGAAAATGGAGAACACAATGAGAGGAGAAGACAACATGGCATAGAGAATGGCAAAGGTTTTACTAGACCTGATGACTCTCTGGGAACTGAGGACATCAAGGTTGATAAGATCCAAAGCCTAAACTGTGATCTTGCAGGAGAGAAATTGGGTGATTCTAAAGATCTTAAGAATGGTGGAAGCAGTACTGAAGTTATAGCTTGCAGTGACACACATGATGATGATTTTGGTGATTTTGGTTCAGTCAGCAGTGCATCTCTTGCTTTCATTAATGCTCAAGAATCGATAAATGCTCTAGATTTAGAAGGAACTTCTGAACAGCCCGCACATATTGGCGAACCTCATGATGAAATCAGGGACACAAGTACTGTTTCTCAGCAGCCAGCAAGGTTGGATCAAGCTGAACTAAATCAGACTGCTGACACTCTAGAGTGTAATACTACCAGTAAAACTTCTGGCTTAGACTTCCAGCATACTACTGAGGTAGAAAATGGTGATGATAGTGAATTTGGAGACTTTGATTCAGTGCCAAAACCTCAAGATGAGAGTGTTGCTTTTCAGGACTCTGACGACTTTGCGGACTTCAGTTCAGCAGGTTGTGACCAGGCTACAGACTGGAATGCGTTTGAAGATGAACAAAAAGACAGCTGTTCTTGGGCTGCCTTTGGAGATGAGCAAGCTGGTGAATCTCATCACAGAAAAGAGACGTGGCAGTCACATAGGACAGATGCATCTGCTAGGATTGCTGGTCCAGTATTACACAAGACTGACAGTTTTGCTTTAGCATCTTTCCAAGGAACTACCAGTAAGCAATCTCAAGAGCCAGCACCTTCAGTTCAGGTAAAGGTGTTCTTGATTTTGTTCAGTCATCTTATGCTCTTGTGCATACATCTCTTCCTGGTTCCTGCTTCTGTGTACAACACGTTTGAATAGTCCTTGTTTGACTTGTGGGCGCTATTTAATTTGGTGGGTGAGATCAGCTGGCATGAAATAGCGTGCTGTTTGCATCTTGTATCTTTTGCACTGTTACTTCCACCAGAAAAATGAGCTGAGTATGCTGGAACTTGTATGCATTTGTTTTGACGATTATATATGGTCCTTTATGTAAACTAATCAAAGGAATAAGCCATTGTAAACATCTTAGAGCCTGTGATCGTTCTTTCTTTGCTTCATACTTTATTGACTTCAGGGAGGGTACTCTGATGCTGCCTTTTCACAAAATAGTGGTGTGACTGGAAACTGAGATTACCAGTTCCCAAAATTATTCATTACCATTCTCTATCATGTTTTCAAAATCTGATTAAAAATGATTACTCAATTTGTAAATAGCTGCATTCATTTGTTTAGTGCAGAGAGCATGATAAAATATGACCTGTGGAGTTCTGTCCCTGGCATTAAAACTCATGGGAAGTTAACCATTTAAAAGTTATTTTTATACATTCATTGTTGGAAGCACCACATTATAGCAACATCACAAATATAGGACTGATAATTTCATAAATCTGCTATTTCTAATCAGGAGTTTTGGGGAGGGTGAAGTAGATGAGTTTATTTCTTACCCCCACCCCCCTAGGTTTTCTGCCTTAGTTGCTAAGTATGTATTAATTCCTAATTAATTTCTTCCTAAGTCTTTCACGAGTCATCTTTTGAGATCTGTGCCTATTCATACATAGATACTTTTTTGCTAAGTATTTAATATTACTTTTACAAAATCCAGAACAACACATTGAATTTAAAATTCTCTTCTGTGCTACTTTTTAATCATGTCATCCCATGTGAGTAGTTTAGAGTATGCTGTGTCCTTCTGAAGCATATAACAACACCAGCAATAAAGGGTGTTTGTTAATATGTGTCTGAATGGCTTGGATATTCTCTGGCAATAAAAGGAAATTAGGACTTTTTTTCCAAGACCTCATGTAGGCTTGGTGACAGCCCTGCCTCTTTCCGTTTCCTACCAGTGACATATGAAATGGCTTTTCAGAAAAAGGTTATGCCAGTCAGAGCTTTGCATGCATCAGCAAATGGAATGGAGCTTTTGGGACTTAGCTGTGATTTCTTGTCACGTTAAAAGGTGTGAGCCTCAGCTCCTGATAATTCCAGCTTGCTGGTTTGTGCAACAACTAGCACACCAAATTTCAAAGTGGCTTCACTAGTCAAAAAAGGTGCTCAAGTGAACCCTTATGTAGTTTTTTGTGCCTATGCAAAACCTTGCTCATCATCACCTGAATGTGTGTGTCCATTGCTCAGGTTGAAAGCACAGATCTGTTCTAACCTATTCTGTTGGTCATTCACCCATAAAATTGAGAGTACTAAGGTCATTAGTAGAATTAGTCTAAATTGTTCCTGTTGCTGCTTGAAAGACTGTCCAGAATATGACAAAGAAATGGGGTTGGGAGATGATTCTAGGAAATCATCCTTTTTTTTTTTTTTTTTTTTTTTTTTTTTTTGAGAGAGAGAGAGAATCATGCTATTAAGGGATAGTCTGAAGGTTTCAAACATTTTTACTTACAATTTTCCATAATTTTATGATTAAATTTTGATAGAAAATACCTCTGACTGTAGATGTTTAAAAGCAGAACCTTCAGAGGTTCTGTAATTTTTATTTTTTTTTTCCTTCCTCATGTCTGTCTTAACAAATGTTAAAAACCTATGTTACAATGGAAGTTCTTCAGTGATATGTTATGAAGTCATACAGTAGTTTGGTTAGATTGTAAAGCAAGCTTTGAGAAATATTTTTTTTTTATTTCTTTATACTGCAGCCAGTTGTGACTGGATATAAAGTGATGTTCTGTCTCCCCTGCCAGTGAGGAAGTACAAGTCAGAATGTTTTACACAAATAAGCTGGAGAGGAAGTTGAATTGAGCTGGATATGTTTTCTGTGCTGTAATGGTTTCCTTAGCCTTGCAATGACAGTTAGTTGCTGCTCTTGTTTTTGGTTTTTTTTTTTCCAGTTAACTCTTAAAACAATAGTTACACATTTTCAGAACGTACTTTGTATTTTGTAAGTGCTTTAAGTTTTCGAAGGATCTATTGAAACCTTTTTATATATTAAAACGAAGCATTTTTTTAATCTTAAATTCTTTTGTGTTTAATCTTTTGAGCCACAGTTAGTACTTTGCAATTAGAAACATTTGAGATTAGTTGAGTCAACATAAGCCAGCACACATTCCAGTACTTTGGGTGCAGAATCGTAGTAAAAATAAAGTCAAATTTTGGTCAGCTTCCTTTACTTTCATTTAAAAGGATATCACTGAGGTCAAACCACAAAATACAGCATGTTAAAGTATTTGCTAATCTTCTGTTTCCAATATATTAAGGTTGAGTTCTGCAGCAGTTTGATGCAAAAGCAGAAATGCTTGCATGTAAAATAAAGCTAGGGGAGGGGTAAGCGAACAAACTTTTGTTATTACCCTGACCAAAGAAGGCTAGGGAGGAGTATATCACTTGCCTCAAATGTTTTGCTGGCAGATCTAAAAAAGCAAGTTCTGTAGCAACTTAAAGGGAGCAGGCTGTGCAGGAGAGAAATAACTGCATGTATTAGACACTTGAGCTAGATGTGAAAATTGAGACCTCAGCTTAGGCTAAAGGTGAACTGGGATTGATTACAAGATACCGTGTACGCTTGATCTGTGATGTGGAGGCTAGAAGAGTCACTGTAATGTGGTAGAGAAATAATTTTGAATGATGTATAAACAAAATAACTGTAATGTAATTTTTCAGTTTTCTGCTTTTGTATACTTAACCAGCAGCATTACTGTTTAAATGTGGAAATGACGTATACAGCGATTCTCATCTGTCAAGAAAGTTATTTACCAGTAGCTCAACTGCCATGTAGGATTTGCTGACCTCTTCTATTCAGTAGTGCTGTGTGGAGGGGAGAAGAAAAAGGGCATGGTATATGGTATACAGTTAAAACTACTGAAAGAATTTGTAAAGGGTTGGAGTTTCCAAGGCTGAAGCCCCACTCCCAAACAAGTGGTTTGCAAAGCAGAGGGGTACCTTGCTTGATGGTGACAGTGGAGGCTGCAGCGATACTGTAGGAACTTGTAAATGCAGTAGTGTGGTAGAACCTTTTTGGTGTGGCGTGAGTGGGGAGGTCTGCCAGAGCTGCTGAAGCCCTGAGAAGGTGCAGCAGAGAACTGCTGTAATGCCCTGGGAGTCTGCTAGGAGAAATGGGGACGGCAGCACATTCCATTGCAGGGTGCCATGGCTGTGCCTTAAAATTGGAGCTGACGCTCTCATCAGTCTTCTGTGAAGTGATGAAGTCTGGTGCATTGCTAAAAAACCTGCTCTTGGCTTGGGAGTTTTACATTTGTTTTTTCCAAATGTTTCCAACAGATCTACAAGAACTGTTCCCTGATCCCTGCTGGTAATGGGCTGTCCTCTGCCAACAGAGGCCCCCGTGTGCTCAGCTGTGCCCACTGGCTCCTTCCTGCCGTATTCCTCATCTCCTTATTTGAACCCATATTAATACTGTTGTATACCTTAATCATTTAATGTCTGTCTTCAACTGAAAAATACCTAATAATTGGTTTCAGTATAGCTGCAGGTTTGCATTAGATATAGGTGTGGTTTTGTGTTCATTAAAACTGATTTAGGATGTAGTGGTGGGTAAACTGGTTGATCTAAAGTTTTGAGCAAATGCACTGGACCATACGCATTAATCCCCTTTATGTGATCATGTTATGTTTATAAGGAATATAAGGCTTGTGACGCAGCTTTTTCCCTTAGATAGTGTTGCACATTAGTCAGCTGAGGGGGTTACTCTGCTGTATAGTGCATTAATAATATATATAGGACTTAGGAAGCAAAGCACAAGAGCAGTTTTATTACCTGTGGTAATCATGTGGGCGGGTAATACGGCTATGCCTAGCTACAAGGAGTGTAGGCATCTCTAGAGGAGCAGGAGATGAATAGTGGCTTGGTCAGAAGGCAAAACCTGATTTGGCTGAGAGTTAAATCCTGGAAAGGGAGCAAGGGAAACCTGAACAGTCCTCCAAGTGGGTTTTAAGATCCTCCACTTATTAGAGGGCCTGTGCTCACAAGCTCTACTTCTTCAGATTAATCAGATGGCGTGGGTGATGCACAGTTACTAAGCCACAAGTACGCATAGAGATAAAGAAAACCCTGGATCACTGTCACTTAGAGAGTACTTTCTCTTGGGCAATGAATGAAGTCATCCTCCTGGAAAAAAGTGATTATAACCATAAATATTTCAGCCTCCCAGTTCACTAAGATAAATTAAGAGAGTGTTAGCTAAATTCAGACAGTTGGGTAACAAACTTGCAGTGTGTATCTGACTAGAAAGGTTTGGGTTTTTTAAGTCCATGGCATAGTTCATGAATATGTGCAGCTGAATAACAGTAAAAAACAGACCATTAAAAGTAGCCCATAATTACTGTATCTCAGAACAGGCTGGCTAAGGGCATCTTCCAAAAGCAAATCGTTTGGGAGGGGATTGTTTTAGCATTTCTGTTTGTTTATATGTCACAGAACAAAATTACTTTCCATTTTGTACCTGTCATCTGCTTCTTCTTCCTTTCAGAGCCTGACTGATAAGTTAGTATGATACCACTAGATAGTAATTACATGACCACTTGAAGTGAGAAGTAAGTTTTATGTAGTCTAGATAATTAACTGCTAAATTCACTTTGCCAGCATGGAAGATGCAAGATTTGCTACATTCTTCAGCTGAGGGAGGAAAAAAATGTGCAAGCCTTCCAGCAAGAATGAGGGAGACAGCTTTCCATTTCTACACTGAACCTCCCTGTGGTTTATAACTTTCTTGTATCAAGCAGTAAAAAGAGCAGAGAACTCTTGTTCTTCTTTCTCAAACCACT